TAAATTATAACTAGTAGGGAAAGAAAAGTCAGACAAGGAGAAAGAAACAAGGATGATGTCACAACAAAATGCTCAGTGTTACAAGAGCAAAAGTGAGTTTTCTCCCACTTTCCTTATTCTATAGTTTAGTTATACTACTTTAAGAGAAAAAAAAAAAGAAAAAAACACTTCAAAAAATAAAAGTTAATAGTACAAAGGTCATACCATAAAGGAGGTCCCACAATATTAAGTCAAAGGCCATACCACGAAGGGGGTCTCTATAATATTAGAAGTAAACAACAAAAATACAAAATTATATGTACATCATAGCTCTAAAGAAAATCAGACTTGGGAGGCGGAAGCAGGAGGATCTCTGTGAGTTCCAGGCTAGCCTAGTATACATTGTATAAAAATTAATATAAAAAAGAGTACAATGTTTTAGGGTGGCAGACTACTATTTTCTGTACTATTCAGAGTACTATGTTTGCGTAAAATTTAAACATCTGCTACTCTACCTCCAAACCCCAGTCCATTCATAAGATTGTTTTATGTTATTTCTATACTACATAACATCTACTACACAGATTAAAACAGTGGAATCTACTCAAAAGAGACATACTTATTCTCTCTCTCACTCCCAATACTAATCAGTATGTATAGAAAGAACCCATAGCAGTAAGAACTATAGTCCTCAAATGAACACAGCAATTAGAGAAATCATGAAACAAGTTCAGGAAACTGCAGTCAAAGAATCTACATGCCAAACACTGTTCTAAGTACATAATACATATTATGACTCACTTAAGCCTCATAAAATAAGACAATATTATTTCCATTTTATTTATTTTGTTTTAGGAGGCATGCAGGTGAGGAATCTGCGGTTAAGGAAGCTATGATGTGACTAGAGCTCCTGGGAACAATGTAATGAGTACACCCCTCAAGTCCTAAATGCTATCTCTTCTTTCCTAGATCAGTTCTACCCTCTTGTACCTGCTTCCAAATGTATCCATATGTGGGCCCCACCAGTGACCTACTCATCTCTATTTCCAACAGGAGCCATGGGATTCCGTTAAGAATGCTTCTTTATTTCCCCTCATCTCACCCTCTCCTCCACCCCATCAGATGCTCCTTCCCATTTCAATTTACCAGTATTTGTTCAGTATCTACTAAGTAGAAGTTCTGTAGACACAAAAGATATAAGAAAAGTCCCTATCTTTTACAAAGAGGCTCCAGATTTGTTTGTTAAAAATACTAATTTTTGCAGATTACATGAATGAATTTGCATTGTTTCTCCCTTGATAAACTATTAATCAAGGCTCATTATTCAGGCTTAATTAATCCCCATATATTTAACAGAGGCCTCAGGCTTTGGGCTATGAAAGATGAGATTCTAGAACTTCTACCTACAAGGTACCCTGGGGGTTCAGCCTATACACAATACCTGTGGCCCACAGTTGTCACAGCTAAGGCAAGATAGCAACCAATGGGCATGCCTGCTTTCACAGCCTTCAAGAGAGGATGAAATGTGGGTGATTCTGTCATGTCAGGTACCGTGCTGGAGAACGGAACAACTGGACAAGTCTGCTGGATTCCATAATCATTTTTGTGTAGTTTCAACCTCAAGATCAAATTCCAGGCCCACTGGTTAAATGAGGTCTCAGGAGTCTCTCCATATCGAACAATACTAGCCAAATAGGAAACCTAAAACAATGATTTATTTTAAATGGTATTAGTCACACACAAATTAAACCAGTAATTTCATTCACCTACCTCTGTTTATGATCAATAACACCCCGGAAGAAAATAAAGTGCTACTTGCTGACCTTCAATTGATGCCTGCTGCACTGCAGTAAAGCAGTATCTCACTCATAGCTCCCTACTTTCACTTACTTGCTTTGTGAACCAAATCCTAGTCAGCACAAGAAGAGGGTGATATAAAAGCTGACATTCAAGGATTGGTGTGCTGGTAAATGCATATAGCACTAAGTCAGGGTTAGGGGCCTCATTGACAGCATTTGCTAATTTAGTGGTATAGAAACTAATTTCAGGCTATCAATAACTTAACAACCTAGCCTGCAAAGTTCTTGAAAATTTAAGCCAGTTCTACTGTGTTAGAACATATGCATTCCAACAAATTCATGTAACAATTCAAATTCTATAAACCTGACATGATCACAAAATCTTTAACCATAAAAATCAAATTTAGTATCCTGAGATAACAAAAAAGTTCTTAGAAAACCTAATGATTAATACTATAACATCATCTTCCTAGGCCATTAAAAATATTTCTGTTCTCAGTACATAAGAAGAATAAATACCTGTTTCACACTTTCAGAAATAAGCCCAGCATAGGGTTTTTGTGTAAGATACTTCTGATAAGCCTCGAGAACCATTAAAGCTACTTCAGTGTGAACGGTTTGATCCAAATGAAGGATACCCTTTTAAAGAAACAAACAAAATTACAAATATATAATACTGTTTTTAAAAAATATATAGTCCTCTAAGCAACAACCCCAAAAAAGACAGAAGAGTGAAACAGGGCATTAGATTCAAAAGATAAACATTATAGAATGAGAATGGGGGAGGGGAACACCTGAAATCTAAAGATAAGTACACTGTCAAGACACACCTGAACCCAAGTCATTTCCAACCTGCCAAAACAGGTATCTTTGACGGTAACTACCCATCTCATCCTACAATCTCTTTAAATTAGATTATAGGTTAACAACATTGTCACAAATCAGGAAAAATGATTATTATTAATTACACATGGAAACATTTAATGCATCAAGTCTACATTCCTTTTTGTTGTTCTATTATCAATGAAAATAAACACTACACTTAAAATCACAGGTAAAATACTGAGTGCCTCACAAGACAGAGGTTACTGATGGTATTTCACTACCAGTCTTCTTGTGCAATTAAAAAGAGAATCGATCCCTTAATCTTTCATAGAGGCTGATTCATAGCTCTAAGAAAGGAGTGAGGAGATACTCAGGGGAGTTTGCCAGCAGCAATGGGAAATGGGAGACTAAGGCATTTCATTCACAAATTGGAAAATGTGAAGATGGATAACAACCCTTGTGGCTCTCACCCACCAGTCCTTTACTGAGAGAAGACCTAAATCAATCTCCAGGTGCAGGGATACCCTGTAAGAAAAGCCCCTGGCTTCAGTGTCCTCATCTGCACATCACCATCATGTTAATGCAAGCTACACAAGACAACTGCAAGCATTAAATGACTTGCTCAGAACAAAAGACACCAGACAGCTATCAAGAGCTAATCCTCCCTCACTGTCTCTTTAAAATGTTAATATTCTGATCAAGGAGTAAAATACAGTTTACATGCCATCTTTGGAGACATAATATATAACAAGCTCTTAATAAACTACTAATAACATGTGCAAGAACTGCCCGTTTACATCTCTTTGTAGCAACCCTATGAGGAAGTCCTATTAATAATATTTAAAGATGAGTAACTGAGGCCCAGAGAATTCAGGAAGCTTGTTAAGAGTTCAAGAGGTAGAAGAGCTGGAATCACAGTCCAGGCATAATGGCTCAGAACTCAAATTCATAATTAAGTCACAACATATTAGAAAACAACTCTGCAATAACATGTAAGAAAAGTCTCAGAAAAAGAGGGACCTAGGGCAGGAGAGGCAGTTAGGAGGAACTGAAGTAACTTATTCCAGAGAAAAAAACAACACATTCAAATGGTCTAAGGATAAAGGGAAGACTGGCCCCCACCAAACACCTTTGGTGTATGTCTGTATTCAAATACGCACATGTAGTGTGTGTGCATGTGAAGGCTAGAGGTCAACACTGGGTGTCTTCCTCTATTACTTGCTATTTTTTTAGAGACAGGGTCACTGAAGCTGGAACTCACTGATTCAACTAGATTGGCTAGCCAGCAAGGCCAAGGATCCACCTGTCTTTGCCTCCCCAGTACTAACATTACAGGCATGTGGGACTGCATACAGCTTTTAAATCAGTGCTGGGCATCGAACTCAGAAGCTCATACTTGTACAGCAAGTGCTTTACCGACTAAGTCATCTTCCCAATCCAAGGGAAGATTTTTCAATGTGGAGTAAGGTATGCTTCACTTTAAGGTGCTCACTCCACAGAAAAGAACTGAAAAAAAAAAAAGATCCTGCTGGGGATATAGCTCAGTGGTAGAGTGCCTACCTGGCAGGTGTAAGGCTCTAGAATTAGTCCCCAGTGGAAGGAAGGGAAGGAGGAAGGGAAGGAAGTCCTAAATTCTAACAATGCCAAAAGAATTTGCAGACCTAGCAAATGACACTCAGAGATATGTTTTTTAATATATTTTATTATTTTTATTTTATGTGTATGCGTGTATTGCCTGCATGTAGGTAAGTGCACCCATGTCATGCAATGCCTGCGGAGGTCGGAAGAGGCTGTCGGATCCCCTAGAACTGGAGTTACAGATGGTTGTTAGCTGACATACAGGTGCTGGGATTTGAACCCAGGTCTTCCGCAAGAACAGCCAGTGTTCTTAACCACTGAGCCATCTCTCCAGCCCGAGATATTAATGTTTTGTTTTGGTTTTTTTGTTTGGTTTTTTTTTTTCGGTCTTTTTGAAACTGGGTCTCCCTGTAGCCCCAGCTCGCCTGGAGTTCACTGTGTAGACCAGGCTGGCCTTGAACTCACAAAGATCTGCCTGCCTCTGCCTCCCAAGTGCTGGGACTACAGTCATGCACCACCACGCCCAGTGCTATTAATGTTTTAAGAAAACACTTCTCTGAAACTGATAGGTCTCAAGTTTCTTGGGAATGACCTACCTGTTCAGCAAATCCCCAATTCAGTCCTTCTAGAATCACACAGGCCAACTTATTCTTCACTGCCATCAGACTGTAGTTCAACAACCAGTCTCGAATCACAGCTATCTCACAGTCAGAAGGTCGCCAAAGATACAGTGGCAATTCTTTAAACAAGTATAAAGAAACCTTTTTAAAAAGAAAACAGTAATTAAATTCAGTATTTAGGGACAATACTGTATTATCCAATACATTATTAAACTGCTTGCAAAAGTTTTCCTTGGAAAGGAAGTGGAGTTGAATTTTATTTTAAACAAGTAAAACTGAAATCACAAACAAATCAAATTAAATACATACTGAAACTGATGACACAACCAAAAGCACACACAGCAAGCTTTCTAGTCAGGGTCAATCTTTTCAGTGTATAAATTAGTATGCTTCTGTCCAGGTATACCACCATACTAAAATACAAATTTACCCATGACGAATCAGGAAAAGTTCACTGATTTAAAACAAAAATTGTTATTTTTTTCTATTTGATACTAGTTAAGATATTTCTATTTGTTGGATGGCAATCTGTTGGGAGAGAAAGGAATGAATGGGAGGACAGATGAAACAAGATCAAGAGTTGATAACTGTTAAAACTGAATGATGGAAAAATAAATAAATACATACATACATATGTACATATATACATACATACATACATACATAACTGAATGATGGATTCAATATGCAATTTTAATTATTTTATTATTAGTGTGTATGTGTCTGTGTCTGTGTGTTTTGACCTGCAAGACTGGATAGAGGTCAAAGGACAATTCTGTGGTATCAGTTCTCTCCTTCTACCTTTATGTGGGTTCTGGGGATGACAGAGGTTACCAGGCTTGCAGAGCAAGTGCTTTACTTGCTGAGCCATTTCACCAGTGTCCTACTTTTACATATATCTGAAATATTCTAGAATAAAGGGTTTTAAAATCCTGTCTATAACACTGCTTTTTAAATAACTTGTGTGTATTAATTAGGAAAAATGTAGGTTCAGTCAATGAAGACTCCTTTAAAGGAGAGTGACCAGAAGAATAATTCATTTTATGTCTTTTTTTGTTTTTGTTTTTGGAGGCAAGGTTGCATTATAGCCCAGGCTAACCTGCAACTCACTATGTAGCCCAGACTGGCCTGGAACTCACTGTAATTCTCCTGCCTTAGCTTCCAAAGCATGAGGACTACTGAAGGGAGCCACCATACCCAGCTAGTTCCTTGTACAATGTTTTTAGTGCTGTGCAGTAGACGTAAAGTGCAAGTCTTATGTAATTTTGGTTTTACTAATAGCTATGTTTTAAGTCAAAACAAGCATAATTAATTTTTGTAATGTACTTCTTTTGTTCATACTATGTCTTTAAAACTCAGCAAGTAATTACATATACAGTACATTCCATCTGGGACCACTCATGCTTCAAGGCACTCTAGTCTTGTGTGTCAGCACTAGAGTGCACCCAGGCAGTACAGGTCTAGCACCTTTCACTCTTGAACTGCTCCAAGGTGTAGCCAAAACAAAATCTGAGAGAAGACTAGAAAGAATGGATTTTATTGGTTTAGTGTTTGAGACAGGTTCTTGCTGTCTAAGGTGGACAATGGCCTCCAATTAATTAATACTCCCACTTCAACACCACATATGCCAGAAAAAAGGTATGCACCAATACGCCAGCGCTCTAAAATAGTAATATTTTAAAAAGCAAAAAAAGCAAAGTCCAGGGCAGGAAAGATGGCTCAGGGGTTAATAGCTGCTCTTCCAGAGAACCTAGATTCAGTTCCAAGCACCCACATGGCAGCTAACAATCATCTGTAACTCCCAGTTCCAGAGGATCTGATGCCCTCTTCAGGCCTCTGTGGGCACTTTATGAGACAGGTACACTTATATACAGGCAAGCAATATGCTCACACATAAAATAAAAATAAATTTAAAAAAAAATTTAAAACCTAGCAAAGCCCTGTCTTAATATGTAATTATCTGACATAAAAAAATAAAATAATGATGCTAGAACAATGGGTAGAACACTGACCAACTGAAAAGCATCTATCTCGCCAGGAGTGGTGGCACATGTCTTCAATCCTAGCACTTGGGCGGCAGGGGCAGGCAGATCTCTGAGTTTGAGGCCAGCCTGGTCTACATAGGGAGTTCCAGGCCAGCTGAGGCTACAGGGAGACCCTGTCTCAAAAAGAAAAAGAAAAAGAAGGAAAGAAAGAAAGAAAAAGAGAGAGAAAGAGAAAAGAAAAGCATCTAAGCTCTGTAAAACAATGGCTTGCATCTGCCATCAAGAACGGAAATGATGGGGGGCTAGAGAGGTGGCTCAGTGGTTAAGAGCACATACTGCTCCTCTTATAGAGGATCCAACTTCAGTTCCCAATGCCTATGTTGGGCAGCTCACACCCACTTGTAACTCCAACTTCAAGGGGTCACAAGACCTGTATGGGCACCTGCACTTACATGCACTGTATTAGTCACTTTTCTGTTGCTGTGATAGAAACACTGACCAAAGCAATTTATAGAAGGAAGAGTTTATTTGAACTTATGGTTCCAGGGGAATTACAGTCCGTCATGGCAGGGAGACAAGGTGGCTGGAGCTCTCACATCATCACGTAGGCACAGGGAACAAGAGAGCGACTGGAGATCTGGCAAGGCTTAAGAACTCTCTAAGCCCACCCCCAATGATGTGCTTCCTCCAGAATAGCCACATCTTCTAAAACCTCCCAAAACAGCGCCATCATCTGGAGACAAAAGGTCCAAATACTTGGAGCCAATGGGGGACATTTTCATTCAAACCATCACATGCACATACCTGCACATAAGTAAATAATTAAAAACAGAAATAAATCGCAAAAAAGATGGAAAGTGGGGGCACTGGGAAGATGGCTCAGCAGATAAAGTTCTTGCTGCCCTAAGCATGAGGACTGGAGTTAGGATCTGTAAACCCAACACTCAAAAGCAGAGACAGTGCATCCTCAGGGCACGCTGGCTATCTAGACAGAATCAGTGAGTTCTGGGTTGAGCAAGACTCTGCCTCAATAGATATAGTGGAGAGCAATAGAGAAAGACATCCGGCATCAACTTCAGGTCTCTACCTGCACACACATACACTCCCACCAGACCACATGTGCCCCCCAAAAAGCAAAAAATAATGGAAATAGAGCTAGAGACATGAAACAACTAACATGGAATACTGCAAACAACTCTATACGATATATTCTACTAGTTTAATGAGCTAAGAAATACTTTTTAAAACGTAACTCATCAAAAGTGACTCAAAAAAATAAAAGAAAATCTTCCAGGCATGGTGGCACATGCCTTTGATGTCTGCACTTGGAGGCAAAGGCAGGCCTGGTCTACATAGTGAGTTCCAGGCCAGTCAGGACTACATAGTGAGACCCTGTACAAAAAAAAAAAAAAGAAAGATAAAAGAAAAAAGACAATCTAATCTTGTATCTTAAAGAAACTTATTTTTTTAGCAAAAGACTTCCACAAAGAAAACTCTTGGCCTAGAAGAATTCACTGGTAAATTCTATCAAATACTCAAAGAAGAATTAACAGAAATCTAACAACAATAACAAAAAAACCTGTCAAAACACAGAAGAGGAAAGAATGCTTCTCAACTCATGCTATTAGGCTGACATAATAAAACTTATAGATCATCAGCCTTCATGAATACATATACACATACCACCAAACTGAACCTAGCAATACCTAAAAAGGATTACATGCATAAGTGGTTTTTATTTCCAAAAAAAAAAAAAAATGATGGTTCAACATTTGAAAATCCAAAATTTGAAATCTAATAAGCAAACAATCAATAAAATTCACATTAAGAGTAATGTAGAAGCTGGGCATGATGGCACACACCTTAAATTCCAGCACTTAGGAGGCAAAATCAAGCATATCTCTCTGAGTTCAAGGCCAGCCTGGTCTACATAGTGAGTTTCAGGCCAGCTGGGACTACAGGGAGACCTTGTCAAAAAAAAAATAAAAATTACAGGAGAAAAAAAAACCTAAGGTCATCTCAATGGGTGCAGAAAAAGTCCTCTAAACATACTGATGGGAAGAGGAACTGCAGTAAACCAAAAACAGAAACTTCTTCAGTGCAGTATCTCTAGAGCATCAATGAAAAACTCACAGCCACCATTATACTTAAGGAGTCCATTTTTTTTTTTTCTGGTGCTAGAGATTAAAACCAGATTTTGTGCATGTACGGCAACCGGTCTACCACTGAACTATACCCTCAGACCAATGCTGAACTTTTGAACTATTTCCCCTGTTGCAGAAAATGAGATAAGAAATGTCCACTCCTACTTCTATTAATCAACACAATAGACAAGAAAAAGAAACACAAGGCATTACAGAAGAATCACTTAAGAATATTAGGGCTGGTAATACAGCACAGTGGTACAGCTCTTGCCTAGCATGCACAAAGCCCTAAATGCAATCTCCAGTACTACTAAAAAAAAAAAAGTTACATTTTTGGCAAGTGTGGTGACATTCACCTATAATCCCAGCACTCAGGAGGTTGAAATAAGAGGATCACTGTGCATTTGGGGGCCAACCTAGATTATACAGCAAGACTGTCTCAAAAACCAAACAAATAAGAAAAATGTGCAGAATTCTAGTAAAAATTCTTTCAACAAAATAGGATTTACAAAGAATATTTTTAAACATACTGACGCTAGGCAGAGGCACAGCATAGCAACCCTCAGAACCCCTGTGATCAGGGCACTATACATGGCAAGGAGCATACCGTACTGCCCTGGCACCCTGCCCACTGCAGGCCTGGCCTGGGCACCAAGCAACACCAATGTCTGCAACTGTGCACCACACCCTCTCTGCTCTTAGTATGTAAAATTCACAGAGAAACATGAGTGGGTAACAAGAGAAAATGGTACTGAACAGTGGGAATCAGCAATTTTGCACATGAAGTTTCAGGAAAGGTTTACTGCAGTCTGCCTGAGGCTGAACAAAACTGAAAAAGAAAAAGTAGGGTACACTTGGGGCTTTGTAAAGTGTGAACTCTGCCAGGAACTCTGTTCTCCTCTGTCAGGAGAGGGAACTGAAGTTAACAAAGCATTTTCTGAAAACCCAGAGCTCATCAACACATCTTGTTATGAAGATGGCTTGCTAATCAGGATCATACTGAGTGATCCTTCAGAGCTGGATGAACTAATGCATGAAGACACATGTGAGAAACATGTGACATCCACGGAGGAATGAACATAGAGCCCTGAATAAACTGGTGTGAACTAACTCACTCCAGCATGGTTAACTTGAACTAGTGGTGGATAGAAGACTTTAAGTAACTTACAGCAATACCAACAGAAAAGAAACCACTCTCAACACTGCTACTGGAAGAAAATCCCCTCAGCTTCCTAATAGTTACAGATAAACAAGATATACATTTTTTATAATAGCTTAGACTATATATCTAGAATTAGAAGCTAAGCTCTGTTATTCAGAATTCATGAGATTATCCATGTTAAAGGTGGTTATAAGATTTCTATCTTGATTGGGGCTGGAGAGATAGCTCAGCAATTAAAAACACTGATTGTTCTTGCAGAAGACCCAGGTTTGAATCCCAGCATCCACATGGCAGCTAACAACTGTCCATAACTCCAGTTCCGGGGGATCCAATAGTCTCTGCTGTTCTCTACGGGCATTGCACGACATGGGTGCACTTACCTACGTGCAGGGAATACATACATACACACAAAATAAAAATAATAAATAAAATTTTTTT